CAAGCTGTCTCGCCGTGGAGCACTCCACTACTCGTCGTGTTTGCTCGGCCTCGCGAGGTGAACCCAGCTAGAACACAGCCACAACACCAGCACAGCAACACCAGCCCACGTATCAACGCCGCAAACGTTGGCGTCGCTGCACCGCACTTCGGTCGGATTGTGCTTCCCGAGATTGCGCTCATAGTGGCCGCCGTAAATATTGCGATAAAGCGGCGAGTTTGCATTTATGACATGACACGCACTCGCACTTGATCCGCCCTCCAGAAAGACGATCTCAGCAGGGCATATCTGGCAACGAATGATGCTGGCTGTATTACTGGAAGCTCACCCAATCTACGCTTCAGCAGATTTCATCTTCCCAAAAATGCTCATCGAAGCCACATAAATCGCAAGAAAAGGTGACTAAATAAACTTCAAAGTCTGCTCGACGTGGACTTAATCCCGTAGACGACTCGCTCCAGACAGACAGGGAGGCGACAGATCTTTCCACTGTCGACCCGGCACCCACAGTGAAAGTAACCAAGCCTTCACAGCCCAATCTTCCACAATGTCGGAAGCTCGATAATGCTAGTCCGTCCATATTGGTAAAACAAAACTGCACACCAGCGCATAAGACAGGAAAGCCAGATATGTCACCCACCCATATCCTGCAGCAGCACGCCAAGTCAGCATCAACACGATTCCCCAGTCGACTGCGTCGACGACCTTGGAATGACCTGACTAGTTAAAGTTGCAGACAACACAGAGGAGACGTCTCCCACTGCATATCAAGGCGACGAGAAGTAACCACTGTCTCCACTGCAAGTCAAGTCATGGTGAAGCAACTTGAGCTGGAAATGGTACGTCGCGAGGGCTTGTTGCAGAGAAGATAATACATTGAAATAGGCGGATCAGCGCAACAAGGAACCGACAAGCTCTCCACATATAGGAAGGTGAAGGCATTGTAACGATCCCGTCGCGCTGAGGCAAGCCAGATCTCGTTTGACCAAACCGCGGACTGGGCTACCGCCGACTCATTATCCTTAGTCTGAACTCCCGTACGCATCGCTGGTCCTTCACTCACAATCGCGAAACCGATCGAGACCATAGCATTTGTAGTACAGGCATCAGCTCGCGCCATCCTCCAAGCACCACAAAAGTTGGATTCAATCCTGAACTGGTCTTCATGACTGACTGCCAAAGCATTCCAGCAACACCGACGCTCGTACTCGCATGCTGAGAGGGCGCAACACAATGACCACGTGTGGCCAGCTCACATGCAACCTCCCCGGAATTGGCCGCATTGCTCAAGACGAGCAGCAACCCGTTTCCAAAGTGTTTCTTGTGTGGCTGTGGGTGACCTTTAGTCCAAACGGTTGAAAAGAATGAATGCTACGTGCGACAAAAGCAATAATATATAAAGGAGTATAATAATTGGTACGTGTAGCGACCGCAAAATTACAGAAAAGAAGAATAATAATGGATGCTACGTGTAACGAAACCAATATTGTAGAAAAGCAGTTTATTCGTTTAGGTTGAACAGATCCGCTCAACTTCAACGGCTACTCCTTTTTAGATTGCACGTACCATTTTAAAAAAAAATGTTGCCTTTACCTCGGCCATCTCCTTCATTTGGAGAACATAACTTCACTTACAATGGTTCACGTGAGTCGTTCACAAGCAAAGCCCCTGTGTGATGGGGTACTACACACCCACGATTGCTTCGACGGAATGACAGTAAACGATGAAACAGCGCGCACCATCGTACGTGTATTACACAAGGTCAGCTCAGCCAACCACGTCGATGTTGAAACCACCATTGAGACCGTCTTCGACAGTCTACTAGCAAAGGGGGTCAAGAGAATGACGGAAAAAAACTATCAAAAGCCTATGTCACCCCAATACCAAGCAAGCATCCCGCCATTACCACCACTCTCTACATTGACTGCGTCGTCGGCACCTTCATGCAAAAAGGGGAGGAGATTGCAGAGACAAAATGAGAAAACACATTCGAAGTGTTTAAAACACTTCCTCTCCGTTTGAAGGCACGATATAGGAGAGAGCAACTTATTAAAAACAACCAGCATGATCATCAACCACCTCAATTTAATCGCATCGATTCAAGGCCGCTCTGCGAGGAGGTTCATCTAGCTCAAAAGTGCTTCAAGAGCATGACCATCGACTGCCAGGCGGCCAGAATTGCTGTCGTTCATGTGGTGTGTATCCGTCATGCTGTTGATCTCCTAGAAGTTGGGAAATGCTTACTGAATTGTTTGACAGCCTACTGAAGCGCGGCATCAAGAAGATCACAAGCCGATCGCTACACAAAGCTGGAATCAGCAAGAACAAAGCAAACGTCGCTGCCACGGATGAATCTCTGACTGCCAAAGCTGCTACTTCAGTATACAAGATCTCTCAAATCGTTAGCACTCATTTTGATGAATACGGAGAAGAAATGGCTGAAGTTGAGTGGTTTCATACTTTTGAACCGCTCGATGATCTCCCTCAAGCCGTAAAAGACCGAGTTGTCAAGGACAAGAAGAAAAAAGGCAAAAAACGTTTCTCGAAATGGATGCGAGAGATGCAGGTATTGAGGAGGAGAGCTAAGATTTTATATTTTGAAATACATTTTGTTATCTTTACATCATCATCACTACATGGATAAATCGTGCAATTAAACGATGCCCATTGCTTCGCATTGAAACTCTTCACTATTCACTGCTTCTATAGACGATGCTGATGATCTTCCTGACGATGCTTCTCACGACGGACTTGCTATTCCTAAACGAAGGAGACTTCAAGTTCGACCTGCATTATAAAGTAAGTCTCTCGGAACGCCAACGACTTCCGATCACTGTGGTGGTAAACGTAATAGAACTGGGCCCGTGCAGTGGACTCAAAGCTTTGACCAAACGGAAACGACGTCTACATGTAGACTTCTGAGTTTAGGCTCCTAGTACAGAAGTGAAGACGAGAGAGAGAGAGAGAGAGTTGGTTTCTATATTGCACAACGTGGAATGCTTTACGCATACTACGTACATGAACTAGTTCGATAGCCCCCACGCCTCAAGACGCCATTCAATGCATCATGGGCTAGCAGCGTGAAAACACTAGCGTCGCGAACATCAGTGCGTCGATACGACCTAACGCGCCACCATGGCCTGGAATGAGCGCTCCCGAGTCTGTAACCCCTGCTGCTCGTTTCAACATACTCTCACACAGGTCCCTAAGGCGTCCAATAACTACCACGACAATAATGAACACAACTTTCGTCCCAAAGGAGCCTGGGGGACCCAATGTATTGGATTGCATAACCATAGCCACAATATCAAAGCCGATTGCTCTAATTGTGGCTTCGTAGTCTGTGTCCTTGGGCAAAAAGCGCTGCCAGCGGATTATAATACGGATATTTTAATCTCGTTAGTACATATGTAGTTTACCCATTATGTATGCTTCCGTATCGGACGCCCACACAATGTATTATAACGCAATAATCAGCTTCTGGTAAAGTGTCCATCATTCGTCATCCACAAGCGCCACAGGCACCGACCGCGTGCCAATGATGCCTACTGCGTCCGACCTGACGGTCAGAAAAGCTTCAGCATTGCTACGAGATGTGGCGAATCGGAATATTAGGGGACAGTCATTCCTACCGTAATATCTGCACTGGTTTAAGCGCCATATCCCACGAAACCTCATTCATCGGACATGCCATTGAATGCAGCGTCAGTCGTAAAAATTGCCTTTGGCAGGCAAATTACCACTAGGTACTGCCAATCGGGTGACAGACACGCACAC